TAAGATTTTAGCATGCCAAGCCAGGTGAACTCAAGTGAACTATAACATTTTTGTCCTACAGTTGTCATGACTTTGTACAAATAAACTAAGATAACAGCGTCTGGTTCTGGCAAGTTCTGACATGATTTGATAAGGAAAACGTAGTACTAGAAAACATGTAAGACAAGGGAACTCTCAGCTTTTAATCTATAAAATTTTGATGGATACATGCCCCAATGGAATTTTTCACTGTGGGTAGGTATTGATTTACAGAGCTCCTGTCCCTGCCATGTTTGGTCTCTGTTTGTGTTTCTAAGGAATCAGCAGGTTTATACCTCTGGCAGTTACTGTTAGCCCACTATTTTCTGGACCTCTTGTATCAAGAGGAGAGTCAGGAAAGAGCCTCTATAGCTGTTAGCAGGCCCACATCCTTTACAAGGTTGGCCCGACAGTGTATGGGAGCTGTGTCCCTTTCCTTCATCAACATTACCATGTATGTACCTTCTAGGGGACATTTCAGTTCACTGAACAGAACAGGAAATGCTACCCCTCTGTAAATGGGATATTCCTCTTTTAAAGTTGTTCATTTTTTTTCTTGATGCCTAAAGCTCATCACTTAATTTATATAAACTAAAATGTAGGTGGTATAGGATGTGGATGGCACATCCATATAGTCCAGGATTCTACAGGCTGAGTGGGAGACTGAGTTCAAAGCCAGCCAGGGCTTTAAACAGGGAAAGTGTGTCTGAAATAAAGAGAAATTTGTGATACATTGTTAAGTGGTACCCAGGCATGTGGTACCTTCTAGTGCCTTCCGTCTTGGAGAGACACTTTGTGATTAAATTTTTTTCTACTGGTTTGAACCAAATTCAGACCTTTTGTTTTCAATGAGAATAATAATAAACTTGGATGGTTAGTTCCCCTTGAGTAATTTTTGTTAAGTTAATGTCCTTCCTGTTGATCACAAAGCTAGCTGTTTCATTTAATTTCAGTATGTTTTTATCTCCGAACTGAAACATGCTTGAGGATTGTAAGACTTAAATAGGCTAATTCTATCATAAGATAAGCCCTTTCTAGACTGCACAAGAAAAGTTCAGCATTTTTTTTCTTTTGTCAATGATTAAGTGACTGAGCAAGGAACACAAACTGTCCTCAAAGATGTATGGTCTAAATTCGGGATTTTAAAAGGCAAAGCCTGGAAGAACATCTTCCTCAAATGTTTAAGGCCCTAAGTTCAGTCCCCAGCACTGGATAAAAGCAAACATAACCCAGAACAGAGGCTGGTAGTTCATGTATATGGTAACTATGACGGATAAGGATTTTGACTGCTTAGAAAAAGTTAACATTTTAGGACTAACGGTGTATGGTGTATGAATATATGCACATCAGAATCTGTAGGTTTCTTCTGTGATGGGGGAAGGTAAGATACAAAGTGAATATATGTGGCGGTGTCATAAGGAGGCATATATAGGAGATTGCTTCCAGCCACATACTGTATTAGTGTTCACAGAGGGGTACCTAGGACATCTCGTTGAGAAATGGATAGAGGGGCCATACATTGACAAACCATGCACTGTGGCTGAGCTGAAAAGCAGCGTTTGTATTCAGATTGTAGAGAAAGGCATCTAATGATGGCTCCTGGTATATGCTGTGGCAGGGCAGGTAGGAGTGTGAGTGGCTTGATAAGGAGAATAAAGATACCTGGACAAGCAGGCACAGAAAACAAGAGGGCTTAGTGAGTGCAAGCAGTTCTCTTGTGTCAAAATCAGGAGAGAAAAACAGATTGGCAAGACCGAAGAACCCTAAAAGCTGGGCAAAAACCCTAGGCATTGATAGTGTCGAATGTTTGATTCTGTGCGAGAAATTAATGTAACAGATACACAGTGGCCACAGGTTACAGTCAGGAAAGGACACACAAGATTTCTGCTCATATGGAGCTTATATTTAATGGGACAAAGATGATAAATAAGCTGGGGCCAGATAATAGTTTTCCTAGGAAGAAGAATCAAAGTAAGAGATAGGCGTGAAGAAAAGGCAGTGTCTGAGCCTGTATTGGTTGACCTGGTAAGGTGAAGGAGTTGCCTCACTGCGGGGAAGTGTCCCTGGGAGAAGTGGATGCTTTGAATGCAAAGTGAGCAAAGGCTGTTTGGTGAGGTAAGACTTGATAGGAAATACAGAGTGACCAAGGATTAGAACGTTTGTGTTCTGCGTGGCTTGGATAGCTGAATTCTCGGTATGGTGGAAGGTACTAGAGACTATCCTGCCATTTCAGTTTCCTGTGGCATTAGAGTTAAATAGGCTGTCACAGTCCTCCACTGTGCGATAAGGCTGTGACCTGGAAAAGCTACAGCAGTAGTGATGGATGATCAGAAGTGATGGCTTTGTAAGTGCTTTGGGGGAGTGCTAGACATGAGTTACCAGAGGCCCCTCCCTCAGCAGGAACACTATGTAGAACACTGAGGTAGGAGGGGCAGCTGCTAGGTACCCTCCTGGGCTCCAGCCAGCCATCCCTGCAGAGGAATCAACAAGCAAACACAACTCTGACTTCTGGGGTTCAGAATGAACAAGTGCTGAATTGTAGCTCACAAACTAGGAGAGCCTGGAGGAGAGAAAGGCAGCACAAACCCAATCCCATTTGGACATGAGTAAGTCATGTCTACAGTGTGGAATGTGCTGGGCAGTCTGGTGGAGTCAATATAGGTGCAGGACCAGACCTTGGATGTTTACAGGTCTAGAGTGGGAAGTCACCCTCCCTGGAAGAATCTCTGAACCCTATGAGGGATGCTGTGCTAAAAATGAGGCTGGTGACAGCCTTTGGAGTACCACGAGGCCAAAGAGAGTGTGCCTAGCAGTCAACAGGTGTTCAGGGTGCTGCAGTGTCATGGGAGAGGTCATGGGAGGCCACCGGAGATGAGGAGCAGGTGTTCGGGGTGCTGCAGTGTCATGGGAGAAGTCATGGGAGGTCACCAGAGATGAGGAGCTGGTTTAGAAAGGCAGCAGAGCCTGAAGAGTACCATTAGCGGGATGTGGAGGTAAATCTCAGGGAAATAAAAGGCACATCCAGAAAGTACCTCCTAAAAGGAGAAAACTTTAGAGTAAAATACTGAATGAATGGGTTTTTCTGTGTATTATAGCAGACATAAGTGAAGGAGAGGAATGTAGAAGATGCTAGAAGCAAAGACCCTAGCAGCAAGGCAGCAGTCTAGAAGACCTGCATACGTGCTGAAGAAAGGACTCAGGAGTGAGACTGGTCTGAGTCAGGGATGAAAGGAAGAGGAGGAGGGCATGGTATTTTGCTTAAGAGTACTGGGAGTTGTGAAGATGGGTTTTATATGGTCCATGCAGTTTTGATTAGTGTCTCCAGGGGCCTGGGCTTTGCCTGCAGAAAGCATAAAGTGAACTAATGGGAAAGAGAATCAGTGGTAGACAGTAGGAAGTTAGTGATTTCTAGCAGGCGATCAATCAGTCTCATATGACTGGTAGTACAGGGGATATGGGGATTAAAACTGGTCCTGGGCTGGAGAGATGGCTACTCCGTGAAGAGCACTTCTGCTCTTGCAGAAGACCCAATTCTCAGCACCTTTGTGGGTGACTCACAACTGTTTCTAACTCCATTCCAGTGAATTCAATGCCCTCTTCTGGATACATCAGGTACTGCATTCACGAGTGGTGGCTCAAAGTCACCGAGACTAACTGAAGTCAAACACCCTTGCCTGAAGTCAAACAACTAGAAATGGAAAAGTGATGTTCTCACGCTTTTGGAGTCTTCACAGTAAAAGCCCACTCTCCTCCCACAGCTCTGGAGCAGCATAGGCCCAGAGGCTGGCAGGATCAGGGAGTGGGCTGGACAGGGAGTTTGTGGGCTGAAGGACTAGGCATGGACTTCTGAGGTGATAGCAGTAAAGAGTGGTGTTTAGGAATGTACCACTCTCATAGCTAGACAGGCTCCTATACTTCAGCCCTCCACAGATTCCCATATGCCCAGGAATCTCCAATAGGGGAATTTAATATTTTAATAACATCTAACCATAGGGTCCTTTTCATGGAGAATCTTTTGGGCTAGTTTCTAGGGTACACTTTCAATACTAAGTCAGAGATGTTCAGCAGTGTTCAGCAGTCAGCCTTAAAGTTTCACAGGTTGTGGAAAGAGGAGCCGTAATGTGAAGGCAATGTCAGGTTTCAGGTCTAGAGGGAAGCAGTCCCAGAACTGTGGCTTTGTTTGTGGAGAGCTGGGCAGTCCTGTGCCCCGTTAGACCAATGTGTCTACCACTGAGTCCCATGAAGTTGAGTCATCAGAATGAATGTTGACACTACAGCATGTAAACTTGGCAGTCTATAATTAGTACTGTCTGGGCTTTCAATAAACAGGGATGGGTGGTCTGAATAAAAGCAGGTCAAAACTGAGTGTCTTGGAATAACTAGCCTTTTCCACCTAACTGTAAAGTGGGTAACTTTATGAGTGGGTAACTACCAAAAGTAGATGCACCTTAAACCGTGAGCACACTATATCAGGGACTTACCTTTCATGCAGTGTCATATGCTCTGAGCATTCCCCAGTTTACACCAGTCACGTGGGCAATAGTCAAGATTCCCCAGTGAAGAGCAGCTTTGTTCTTAAGTTTAAGGTGATGCACAAGGACAAGGACGTCAGTAACTAGTGGGACGATGACGCTGGCAGGGAGGAGGCGTTTATGTGGCCCGAGTTAGTTTTAGTATGTGACATGACTTTCACCCAGGTAGACTTGTTTAATGTAGTGAGACCTACTCCATGAGGTTTTTAAAGAACCTCCAGTTGTCTCCACTTCAGATGGCAGTGTTAGGAGCTCCATTCTAGCCTTTTCCATAGGAATCTTACTACTTCATTTCCTATCAGTCTTGGTTAAGGCCATGTATGTCTTTTAGATGTGTGCCTAATATAACATCTCATCAATCCAACCAAAGTCTTCAAAGCACATGAAAACTACATGGCAGTGGCCTCGTTTGCTTTCTCCCACAAATCCCTGACTTTTCTTTGTCCACAGGTAAAGTCGGTGATAAACCTTCTGTTTGCTGCCTATACTGGAGATGTGTCTGCCCTCCGAAGGTATGTGGGCAGGGTGGATACACTGACTTTTGGTGTTTGAGGGGGCATCTGGTCAAGCAGCTGTCTTAAGGTTAAAGTCTCACTATCACTTCTGATAAAAGTTACCCCCTACTTCCACTGAGACCGCCCCCTACTTCCAGTGTCTCAGACCTGCTGAGTGAGATCCCTGAGGTAACTAGCCCACTAACTGGTCAGTGGTTTATTTTAACATCTCTGATGAGGTAGGAGTCAGGGTGTTCGGTGTTGTGCATGTTACCAGGATTAGAAAGTTCATAGTGAGCATAAGTTCCCTCTCACAGAGTTGCAACTGACCTGTAAGGTGGATATGGCTCAGCTGATTTCCATGCTAGAAATCCATTTATGTCTCATCTATTTATTGTAGGCAAATGGGTTAAAGACTGGGAGTCAAACTGAAAACATGTAGCTATGCTGTAGGCATTTTTGCCCTTTTAATGCAGCTGTGCCAGTATTTTAAGAATAGTTTAAATAATGTGATGAAACTCAGCTCTGGGAGAGACAGCTGTTTATCTTACCCAAAGTAGCAACACTAAGGAAGCACAGTCACGTGGCATTTACCCCCAATCTGGGGGCACAGGAAAACTGACTGCGGTCACGTGGCATTTACCCCCTATCTGGGAGTACAGGAAAACTGGATGACTGGCCTACATTGAACTGATGGAGTAAATGTTACCACTGAACAAGTTAATCTAATGTAGTGATTAGCTGTTTATGAATTTTCAGATTTGCTTTGTCGGCCATGGACATGGAGCAGCGGGATTATGACTCAAGAACAGCCCTCCATGTCGCTGCTGCAGAGGGTAATGAAGGGAACCACTTACAGCTTTTACAGACTGAAATTCTACTCGAGACTAAAATACATTTTTTGTGTTTTGGGGAATATAGGTCATGTTGAAGTTGTCAAGTTTTTACTGGAAGCTTGCAAAGTAAACCCTTTCCCCAAGGATAGGTGAGTATCCCATAGTTGCTAAGTCACAATTTGAATACACAGACTTGAGTGTCAAGTGGTGCTTACATCCATGGTGTCTTACAAAGGCAACATGCAGAATTTTGCTGTCTGAGTGACATCCAACTCCATATCCAAGAGTGGTGTCTGGTTCAGGAATTTCAGGTTTGACGACCAACCAGCAAATATGAAGGAGACAGTCCTTCATACTTGAAAAGAGAAAATGGGGATTCTGTTCTCAGGGAACTTTTAACTACAGGATAGACAACACAGAAGTGTGGGAAAGTCTGTACGGAAACTGATCTTGAGTGTGCTGGCATTGCTTGGGATTTGTTGCAGTTAGTTTTAGGTGGCTTTGTGGGAGTTGAGTTTTAAGTAGTCCACTGGAGGAGAGATTTGAAGGCAACGCATGAGGGAGAGTATTCTGCCTGCAGTGGGAAGGGTTACCCAGAACACTCTGCTCCTCTGCGCTCCCCCACCCCAGGGCTGTGCGGCCCCTCCCCAGCCTAAGGCTGAGGCAGTGCTAAGCATGCCACACTATGCTCACTGCTTGGGCATCCACACTGTGCTCACTGCTTGGGTATCCTGTCTTTGGAATGGCTGAGCCATCGGGTTAGCAGTTAAGGACGAAGGCTCAGAAGAATACAATGGAGCTATACTCCTGCTGTTTGAAGTAGAGTTTGGAGTGATGCCTAAGAGCTGCACAAAGCTGAGAGCAAGTGGACTCGCTCCAGCTAGGTGGCTGGATTACTAAGACTTTGTTTTAGGGGCCTAGATCATTTTGGTTCAGCTTACCAAAGAAAATAACAAGTTACGGTATCAGTAACTAAAATTTGTTAGCAATTTTGTAGGGTGGAAACATGTTGGCTCTCTCTCCCCATTCCTATGGTTATTAAAAAGAATGATTGGAATAAGCTATGTGGTAGTCCTCTAAAATCTCAAGGTAGGCTGACAGTCCTCCTATCTAGCCAATATCATGCCCACCAGGCTTCTAGAGACACTGAAAAGTGTCTTCCTGGGTCTATAACTCAATTCGAATACTACTTAATATATGTTGGAAATATTTATATGTGAATTCTAAATTAGCCTTGAAGAATGTGGAAGTTGAGGTTTTTCATCTTACAGACAAAAGATAGTTAAATGACTTGGTAGATGTGAATTCGCCTATTCCCAAAAAAGCTGCATGTTTTTCCCATCACACAGAATCAGTATCACCTACATTATAAAACAGCAAGAGTGACGCAATGTGTTCTTTATGGGTGGACTTTCTGTTATGATGTGGGAAAGATGTAAACATAAAGAAGATGACCTGGCAGAAGCTGACACACACAAATACTTGATCCTGTTAATGACTCCCTAATGAAAAGCCATATGGGAGGGGGGGGAGAGGAATCAGTAATTCAGCTGTTTCATGAGAAACAGAGACATGTAAAGTTTTACTTACCTGATTTAAAAAATTAAGAGCAGGCTACCAGAAACATTGAAAATGTAAAATTAAGCACTTTCTGTTTGGCTTCACATTGTGACTGATTTAGGTGAAAGGTTCTGGACACAGAATGATGGAAAGAAGCAAAAGCAGGGAGGTGGGACAGGACCTGGAGCCAGGAGCCAGGAGAGAGAAGCCAGCAGGAGGAGCTGAGGGGGCAGGCTCCACTGGCCGTGCAGGAACTAGCAGCTAAGGAGCAAGCCCGGCCTTTACTGGGGCATGGGCTTTTACAATGCCATGTTCTTCCACAGACCTCAGCTGACTCCTAGATGCACCACCACCTCTTTGCTTGTCTTTGAGGGTCCCCTCCCCCTCCTAGCAGCACACTAGGGTGGACTAGGAGTTCTGATCAGGCAGTGGGCCAGCTGAGCCTGCAGCTTCCTTCCCTACTGGCTCTGATGAAAGGGTCACTTCCTCTGGGCACATCTTGTTCATCTAACGTGCATTTAATGTCATGAAGTTATTGGAAACCTGGAAGATTGATGATTTACTGTGACTTTTGAATTCACAGGGACATACATAAGTTTCCTATGACAGGTTAGGATGATGTTACACTACCTGATTTTTAAATATCGGTCAACAGTAGACTTGGCCTCCAAAGGCCCCTCTTTTGGCACTTGGATGAGGAAACACGATCTTTTCATAGAAGTCATTCCATTATCCTCATTATCAGGATGTCTGTCTCAGGCCTGTGTCTGAACTCTTAAGAACTTTTGTGTGTTTTAGGGGGTCTCACTTGTAATAGTGCTAACGTATAGATGAACATGAATAGCCATGGAGCTCAGATCAAAAGGCTGGGGGTGCTAGACCACCATCTTGGAGCAGTAGTTACCTGACTAATGATCCTGTCTGCTGTGCTGCAGGTGGAATAACACCCCCATGGATGAAGCACTGCATTTTGGACACCATGATGTTTTTAAAATCCTCCAGGAATACCAAGTTCAGTACACACCTCAAGGGGATTCTGATGATGGAAAGGAAAACCAGACTGTCCACAAGAATCTTGATGGGTTGTTATAATGGTCTGAATCCCAAGACTTCCATTACTTACCTAGTGATTGTGGAACATGATTATGGAGAACATGTGTATTTCTATCTGGTAGTAATATGTATTTACAACCTCTGTCACTGCAGTGTTACTGGAGCTTCCTTCATTGTGCGCATACGACAAATCTGAGTTCTTTGGGGAAAGATAGAAATGAAGCAGCCTCCCTTCATAATGTGAGCAATAGTTACCTCGTGCGTTGTACAGTTTGATGTGAAAGAGTAGTTACCGATGCTAGCTGAACTGTGTGGTCCTCATGCTTTGTGTTTTGTAAATTTTCAAGCCCTGGTGATGATATGCTCACATGCACTTAGGATTGGGCTTTGTTGTACAGTCTGTCCACAGGGTCGATGCTGTCATTAGACAAAAAATAGTGTGATCTTTAAGACTTTAAACACAGATTTAGTTTGAGTGTCTGAGAGACCACTGCACTTGTATGGTTGAGTGTTTAAAGTGTCCATCACCCTCACTTCACAGTGTGACTCTTTAAATATTAAAATAGTAACTAACTGTTCATAGAATATGCCGATTCTGATTAGATTTTATCAGGGAATCTGTTAAGATATGTTTGGTGACCAAAACATATGTGTGAATATAGTTCTAGCACTTGTAAACTTTTCCTTCCCATACAGCGCTTGGGCTGGCCTCTCTGTGGTGTGTAGCTGTCAGCCCCCTCAGCTGGAAAAGAGAGCGCTGGCTTTCTATGCAGTTTTCAGATCTCCTCAGCAAGCCATCAAGTCTCACCTTTCTCCCATCAGAGATACAGCCTGGCTGTTTATCTAAGGAAGATGAGCCAAAACTACAACATCTAAATTAACCGTCAGTCTTAAGAGTAAAGACAGTGATGCTGCACAATTATAGGTTCTCTTCAGCTTCTACAAGAAAGAAAAATTCAGAAATGCTTTCAGTTACCAAAGTTATAATGATATATATAGAAAAAGCTACAAATAACATCTACTTTTAACTCTGCTGTCCTATCTGCATCGAAATAGCACTCCTTTGTGGCAGACCCCAAGTATCTTCTCTTCCTCTACTGCCTGCCTGTTGGTGGGTTGTATCGTTCACTAAGAAAAGTCCACTTCATTTTAAATTTAGACCCACCATTTCTTTGTTTTGGAAAGGTAATTTATGATTAAGTTGGATAATAAGTAAAAGCGACCTTACAGAGAACTTCCTTGTCTAGGAGTCCCACATACTGGACCCTATTAAACCTCCAAGAGATTAGGGGTGTGTTAGGGAGGACTTTTGATATTAAGCACACATGTACACACACACGGACTTCTTGGAAACTGCTTTATGAAATAAGCAAAATTCTCAACTACGCAGATACTAGTGGTTTCCACAGTAACACAGAATCTTCCGTGACCCTCACTGTCTGCACTGTTTGTATCCAAGCTATATGCCTGGTGGCACATTATTCACCCGGTAACCAGCTGCTTTGATCCTGTTTCAGTCAAAGTCAGCTTCAGCCAGCCCCTCCACCCCCTGGCCAGCACCACCCTTGATGAAACTATGGCTAATGTTCCTTCACTGGGACAGGCACCACGAACGAGTTTCTAAGTTCCAGAGTCTGTGGGGAGGATGGTGAGTGTCACTGCGCTCCTTCTTCCACACCCCTCAAGACAGGTATGGTGGCACTTGGAACATCCTACACAGGGACAACCTCCAAAGTTAAGGGGTGAACATGTTTTATTGGAATCAACTGAGATAATGCTATTCCAATAGAAGCTGGCTTTTTGTGATTCAGTATGTGACTTAAGTATTGCCAGTGACTTTGAGGATTCCCTCCAATAATGGATTTGTATATTATTTGAGACAAATGTTTTCATCTTTTCTCAGCTCAGTGCTGTTTTGTACAGTCTTTGTGGCTTGGTTGAGTATGCTCTTTTTCCCGTGCCAGGTCTTGCTCTGGCTGTTTGCTACTGGCTGATAATAACAAGGACTCTGTACGTGTGTGAATGAGCTGCTAACTGCTGCCATCAGTAAACTCCAAAGATGTGTTTGTTTTGGCTTTACAATCTTAGGTAATTTTTCTGTATCGCAGAACCATTACATGATCATGTTGCTTTGAAGCTCTTTATATACCACTGTTTCTGCTGTCTTGGTTCTGACACCCCCATCCGGTGATACGCTACACCCCACTGCTGCCTACACACGCTTTAGCTGCAGAGCTGGATTTACTGTTGATCCAGCTGTCTGTCAGGGACTCGATAACCTTATGTTTAATTTAGGTCCCTGCTGGGGAGTCCACAGCTATGAATGTATTTACTTCCAACATTTCCCAAAATAAAACCTTAAAACTATAAAGTGTAAATATTCTGAAATTGGGAAATATTTATTTTAAATGAGATCAGGTAGTGTTGCTTTTTACAGCATAATAAATATGTGTATTGAAAACAAGCTACGAGAAATTTTTTTTAAATAACCAAGGTTTTTCTCTGTGCTGTTGGGTTGAAAGTCTGTAACTGGTTTACATACAGCCTGCTGTGAGCCAGGCACATAGAATCGGGTGGGAAGTTTGGACTATAGGACCGAGATGAGAACTGAGGACCCAGCTGTGAAGGTTAGTAGTGGACAAACTAGCTCAGTCCTCTAGAAGCTCATACCATGCTCTTACAAAGCGCCATGGCAAGTGTCCTTGAATGAAAACATGTTTCCACAGAGCACTGACATCTCCCTTGAGAACTCATTCAGATCGATCATACCACGCCCTGAGTTGCACTAGCTGGCAGCTGCCCTGAATTCTTCACATGCTTTCAATTCCAATGCCCCAAAGCCCTGTTCCTCGGTGGAGCCTTTCCTCTTAGGTGTAAAGTTGGCTTCTAACTCCACAGCAGTTATGTGCATGCCATTCCAATGCCATCTTTGTCTCAAGGAAGTTACAGTCCACAAAGCCTGCTTGGTTATAGGAGCTGTGTCAGGCCATCTCTGTTACTGATATTTTAGAAGTTGAAATGGCATGTGAAATTCTTTAACCCACGCTTTTATTGATGAAGATGGGACCCAAGAGTGGACCACAATATGGAACTCTTACTCCCATGTTCTTTCCCTGACCCCTAACACAAAGTGACAGCTAACATCTTCACTTACTCATATTAGCTAACAACTACTAGCTAAAAGCCTCTCAGGTGAGTCTTGGGGCCAGTCCTGACTGCTACCTTGTTAAGTCCTGAAGTCAGCTCCTGCTGCACACCTGTATCTGCTGAAGGGAGCCTGGTAGTGGTGCAGAGCACACAGATAACCCCCATGAGTGAAAAGTTACATTTCTTAATATATTGATCCTTCTCTTTCTATGGCGGTTTTTAGCAGCTTAGGTTGATTTTGTTAATCTTTGTAGGAACCTGGGTATGTTCATAAACCATGGATGTTGAAGGAAACAACTCATGGATGTACAGGGTGGCACTTAGGTACTTCTATGAGAAGGGAATTATCTGTGGATGGAAAGGATTGAGTTCCTAAGTTAGCAGGGGTGTATGTGTTTGGGGTGAGAAGGGTCTAGACTTAGTCACTGAGGCAGTTGTTTTTAAAGGAGGTGTTTTTAAAGGAGGAAATAAGCTAACACAGTGGGCTGCCGGGCATTACGGTAAGAGCTCATTTCTGTTCTAGCATTTGATCTGACTCTGGACCTCATGGGGCTAGCCATGCCTCTTGCTGCCTTTTCAAATGATCAGCAGAACGTCCACTATGAAGCTGGACAGTCATGACTCTAACATACTATGACTTCATTTCTAGACAAGACACGGAGGAAAGCGGCCAGCACACCAGCAGTGGGGAATTAAGTGTCCCAGCATTATAAAGTACAAAACTCACAGTCTGATAGCAGACAGTGACTACCCTGCCTTTGGATAGCTTTACTTTGTGTTCTAAGTTTAATAAATTATGATTATTTTTCCTACAATAACTCATATAGTCCCTTTAAAGTCTGAGTACAATATACACAACCCAAAGTTAGAGTATCCCTGAACAGTCAAAGCTTTAGACAATACTAAGTAGCCTCAGCTTCCCGCAGTCGGTTTAAATTTTATTTCTTGAAAATTATATACATTTTCTATAACATTTACATCATCTGCAGCTTTTGACTAGTTTAAAAAATTAGACTATATGTATAAATGTTTTGCATTTGTGTATGTGTACATTTGAGTGTGCCTGGTGCCCATGGAGGTCAGAAGGCATCAGATCCCCTACAACTGGAGCTATAAATGATTGTGAGCCACCAATCCTTACGGGTGCTGGATTGGTGTACCTGGATCTACTGCAAGAGCAACAAGTGCCCTCAGCTGCTGATCTATCTCCCCAGCTCCTGGCTCTTTCTGCTTCACAAAATCTCTCTGAAACTTTAATGGGTAAAGTGACTGTGTCGAGCATACGAGCCAGTGTCTTAGTGTAAACATCTTCCATGTATGACCGTGGGGCATTTCTTTATTAGTGCCTTCCACGAATCTGAATAGTGCCTGGTTCAAGGCAGGGACTCAACATATTTGAGGAATAAATGAATGAATCTTAAACAAAAGATGCCTTCAGATAAATAATACCCTCGAGATGAGGGACAGCCTCCCATCTCCAAAAGTAGGTAAAAGAATTTTCAAAATGCTTTCCAGCTTTGTCTGATGCTCCCCTGGGGCAGTCGATGTCATCTGTTTACTGAAATGTGCCTTGATTCCACAGTAGTTTTCAGGCAGTCATAGATTCCATTTATATAATGCCACCTCAGGAAGTCCCTAAATCAGTTTATCGAAAGTGCTACATATATACTTAGAAAATACCTTCCTTAAGCTTGATGACTTCTTATAACAGCTCTCTGAGAGTGGAAGTGGATGTCTTCCATAGACTTCGGTATGATCTCATGTGGCCTCGAACTTGATACATAGCCAAGAATGACTGAACTCCTGATCCCCACGCCTCTGCCTCACATGTGGCCTCACTATTGTGCCTGCCCACCGACCTACCTTAAACTGTCATAGTTAATGTGGCTGCAGGATAATAAGCAAGGGTGACACTTCTCAGTCTTCCTTTAAAATAGGACTGATAGAGAGATGGTTCAGCTGTTAAGAGCACTGGCTGTTCTTCCAGAGGCCCTGAGTTCAATTCCCAGCATCCACATGGCAGCTCACAATAGCCTCTGACTGCGGTCCCATTTGACTGTAGTCTCATGGGATCCAATGCCCTCTCCTGGTGTCCATACATTCAGATAAAACACACATATACGTAAAATATATAGCTAAATAAATCTTTTTTTAAAAGCACTTAAAATAGGACTGATACATAAATGAGATATGTATTAAACCAACTCACAATACTAGACATTTTAAATATCTTTATATTAAATAATAATAGGAAACTAACATAATTTTAACATTTCTTAAAGTCTCAGCTAGTTCAACAGAATGAAATCGTAACTGTTTCAACAGACAACAGTGTAAGCAATTGTTAGGTCTCAGCATTTAGAAACAATATTTTTTAAATGTTTTGTTTCTTGGTCATTTCATTTTGACATGAAAAGAGAGGAAGCCTTTGCTTCCCTGCAGCACTAAGGGTTGTGCACACTTACTGTGGTACAGACTTGCATTTGGGTTGCAAGGCAGACTCATCTTCACCAAAGTAAAATAAAGGATTATGGGACAGCACCCTAGCTGTCCTGCCTGGACAGCAGTCCATGAAAGCTGCCCAGAAAAACCAACCCAAGACTGGAATCACCAGGCTGTCTTTGTACCACTGAGGAAAGTAAAGAACAGCACGTGCCACAAAACATCATCCCTCAAAAGGGTGACAAAACTCATGGAACCATTTGTGAATGTAGTTGTCAGAAAAACACATTCATTGGTGACAGCGCATCTATAGGGAATGCTTTAAAATTATCTGATACTCATATTTGGCTAATGATTCAAGTAGTTACTCCTTTTTCCAAGTTTATGGCTAATTAAGACAACAAGCTAAAAATGATAAAGTCAGCCTAATAAAAAAACATGAGTTAAACTGCTGGGTTTACCTGTATCTGTAATTTCAACTAAAAAAAAAAAATTGCCTTAAGAAAGCTGGCCCCCTTAATGGATGTGCAAAGACAATTTTATTCAACCGATGACCAAAAAGACAACAAAAATCGTGTAGCTTGGTGTAGTATAGGCTGAACAGAGAGTACTCATGAAAATGTTCTTACTTCTTTCGGTGTTTAGTTTTGTTTAGCCATAGCCACCAACAGAGCTAATCCCTGAAGAAAGCAATCATGCCTTTGGATTAACACAGCCAATGCAGAAGCTGCAATAAGGAACTCGACAGTTTTCTTCCCACTCAGATGAAGGATGTCCACTATAGTTTGATATATCATTGTATCTAAAGTTGATTTTAAACTGTGCCATATGTAGAACAGTGGAAGAGTTCCAGCCATAAAGGAGAGGGGACATGCCAATCTCTCCCGGGACAGAACTATTCCTACATCAAAAAGGTCCTTCCCCCATAAGTGTGTATCTTTCTAATGTGCAGCACTCGGGCACTGATCACAGAGCATTACTAACGTTACTGTACTCCTCACCTTTCCAGAACACTTGCACTCTAGTCCTGTGCTTGGGTGGAGCTCTTGGTTTTTGTTTACAAAATCCATTTTGCATAAGTGACTTTCCATTTCACCTTCAGTAAGATGCGTGAAGTCCTTCAGAGTAACAGGTTTCTAATTAGAGAAATATCCACTTGCTATCAACAGGGTACAACAAATGTGCTGTTCTTTCTTGCATTTCCCTAGAAACACAGCATATGAAGGAACAGTAGCAGGGAGGAATCACAGATGGGAAGAAAAATGTCGCCAGAGAAGAGAGAAATTCGTGTTTATACTGCGCTCATCTGCAAAAAGACAAAATGTAGTTAAGTTTATTACACACACTTTATGACATGTGATCCATATAGTTCACACTATTGCCCTTCCTAGAATGGAGAGCAGGAGAATGCTTCCTACAGCAAACTACCATCACGAAACCAGAAAGGCTAGTACGGCGTATCCTTTTGGAATTCATCAGGGCCTTTACACCACCGAAACTGATGGATTATTACTGTCTGGCCTGCTGGATTAATGTTGTGACTCATCCCAGACAGACTATATAAAGCTTTCTGCTGTTATGCAAGTCTAGGGACAGCAGCATGGCAAATCAGCTCATTCACAACGAGTGTGAGGAAATGCTGAGCCATGTGCCAGAGGGACAGAAATGATGACTTCTCCTTAAAGGCCACTGAGTAAGCAAAATAAACAAAGCCGGTGTTTCAGATGTGGGCCAGTAAATCAGAAGTAAAATCACTCTGAATCACTTCAGCTCCTACCTAGTCTGCCTCTCTGCCCTGCATACAGGAGTCAGCAAACTGTTCTTCAGAGAATACGGGCCTGCCACTGACTCTGACTTCTACCCTGGTGCACTTCC